GAATGAGACAGAGAGAGCACATGAGAGGGGGGAGGGTCAGAGGGAGAAGCAGACTCCCCGCTGAGCAGGGAGCCCGATGCGGGACTCGATCCCGGGGCTCCAGGATCATGACCTGAGCCGAAGGCAGTCGCTCAACCAACTGAGCCACCCAGGCGCCCAATCACATTTTTCAATTCAAGAAATAGGATCATGAAAGTTTCAACATGACAAAAGTAATATATTTAGTAATGGTACTTGTCCATTTGACTCTTAGTTTTTTTCTTTTTAATCCCATTAGGATGCCTAGGACACAGGCTCAATATACTGTCAATGAATTTGTTGATACTCTTCAGTCTTCCATATTGATGCTATCTCACATATGGTCTTTAATTATAACATTTAAGTTATAAGTCATGTGCATGCATTTTAAACATTTTTATAGTGGTAAGATATACATAACAAAGATTACCTTTATAATCATTTTTAAGTGTCCAGTTTAGTGGCATATGATAATTTTATGTTTAACTTTTTGAGGGAACACAAAGTTTTTTACTGTAGCTATACATTTTACATTCCCACCAGTAGTGCATGGGGTTCCAGTTTCCTCACATTCTCACTAACAGTGTTGTTTTCTAGAGTTTTTTTAGTAATCCTAATGGGTATGAAATAGTATCTTGTGATTTTGATTTGCATTTTATGTTGAGTATTTTTTCATGTGCTTATTTATTGCTTATTTACATCCTCTTTGAAGAAAAGTCCTTTCAAGTCCTTTCTTTTGGATTGGATTATTTTGTTGTGGGGTTGGAGTTCTTTATACACTAGGGATACTAATACTTTATCAGATATGTCATTTTCAGATCTTTTTTCCCATTCTGTGGGTTACCTTTTTACTCTCTCGATAGCATTCTTTGATCCACAAAAGTTAATGATAAAGTTCTGTTTATTTTTTCTTTTGTTGCCTGTGCTTTTGTATCATAGCCAAGAAATCATTGCTGAATCTAACATTATGAAGCTTTTCCCCTGTGTTTTCGTCTAAGAGTTTTACAGTTTTAGCTCTTACACTCTTTTTTTTTTTTAAAGATTTTATTTATTCATTTGAGACAGACAGAGAGAGAGAGAGAACATGAGCAGGGAGAGAGGGAGAGGGAGAAGCAGGCTCCCCGCTAAGCCAGGAGCCCAATGTGGGGCTCGATCCCAGGACCCTGGGATCATGACCCGGGCCGAAGGCAGATGCCTAACCATCTGAGCCACCCAGGTGCCCCTTAGCTCTTACACTCTTGAGTTAATTTTTGTATATAGTATGAGAGAAAGGTCCAGTTTCATTCTTTTCCATGTGAATGTCCACTTTTCTCAGCACCATTTGTTGAAAAGATGGTCTTTTCTCCATTGAATGGTCTGGGCATGCTTGTCAATACTCAGTTAACCATATATGTGAAGGTTTATTTCTGGGATGTCTATTTTATTCCATCGTCTATCTGTCCTTATGCCAGTAGCACACTGTTTTGATTACTGTAGCTTTGTAGCAAGTTTTGAAATCAGGATGTGTGAGCCCTCCAACTTTGTTCTTTCTCAAGAGTGTTTTGGCAGTTTGGGGTCCCCTGAGATTTCATATGACTTTGAGAATGGGTTTTTGTATTCTGCCTGAAACATCACTGAAATTTTAATAGGGATTGCATTGAATTGTAGATTGTTTTGGGTAGTATTGTCAACAATATTGGGTCTTCCAGTCCATGAATGTGGGATGTCTTTCCTCTTATTTTGTCTTCTTTTATTTCTTTCAGCAGTCTGATATGGTGTATAAGTATACAAGTCTGTTCCTTCCTTGTTTAAGTTTATTCCTAAGTATATTCTTTTGTATTCTATTTAAAGGAATTGTTTTCTTAATTTCCTTTTCAGAGAGCTAGTTAGAAATGCATGTGATTTTTGTGTATTGCTTTTGTATCCTACATTTTGCTGAATTCATTTATTAGCCCTGCAATTTTTTTTGGCCTCCTTAGGGTTTTGTTACATATAAGATCATGTCATCTGCAAAAAATAGATAATGTCACTTCTTTTCAATTTGGATGTCTTTTACTTCTTTTTCTTGCCTAATTACTCTGACTAGAACCTACAATAATATGTTAAATAGCAGTGGCAAATGCATACATCCTGATCTTGTTTCTGATCTTAGTGAAGAACTGACAGCTTTTCCTCTATCTAGTGTAACGTTAGCTGTGAGTTTTTCATGTATTGCCTTTATGTTGATGTAGTTTCCCTAAATTCCTAGTATATTGAGTGTTTTTATAATGAAAAGGTGTTGAAATATGTCAAATCCTTTTTCTGCATTGATTGAGGGGATCATGTATGGATTTTTACTTCTTCCTGCTCTGGTATATAACATTAATTGATTTTCACATGTTGAATCATCCTTATATTCTAGGAATAAATCCCACTTGGTCATGATGTAGTATCCTTTTAAGATGCTGCTGAATTTGATTTGCTAATACTTTGTTGAAGATTTTGCATTGATACTCAGATAGTTGTCTGTAGTTTTCTTGTAGTATCTTCATATGGCTTTGATAATGCTGGCCTCATAGAATGAGTTAGGAAGTGTTCCTACCCCTTCAATTTTTTGGAGGGGTTTCAGGAAGGTTGGTGTTAATTCATCATTAAATTTTTGGTAGAATTCACGAGTGAAACCATCTGGCCTAGGGCTTTTCTTTTGGGGAGGCTTTTGATTGCTGATTCAATCTCCTTACTTGTTATTGATCTGTTCAGATTTTCTATTTCTTCCTTACTCAGTCTTGGTAGGTAGTGTGTTTCTAGGAATTTGTCCATTTCATCTAGGTTATCCAATTTCTTGGCATACAATTGTCCTTAGTACTCTCTTGTAATCCTTTTCACTCCTATAAGATTGGTCATCATGTTCCGACTTCCTTTATGATTTTAGTAAGTTGATTCTTCTCTTTTTCTTAGTGTAAAGAGTTGTCAGTTTTGATTGAAAAGAACCAACCTTTCTAGAAATCAACCACAAGAAAAAAAATTGGAAAGACTTTAAATACATGGAGGTTAAACAACATGCTACTAAACAATGAATGGGTCAACTAGGAAATCAAAGAGGAAATAATATATGGAAACAAATGAAAATTAATACACAGTGGTCCAAAATCTTTGGGATGTAGCAAAAGCAGTGCTAAGAGGGAAGAATATAGCAATAGAGGCCTACCTCAAGAAACAAGAAAAATCTTGGGGTGCCTGGCTGGGTCAGTCATTGAAGCATGCAACTCTTGAACTTGGGGTTTTAAGTTTGAGCCTCACCCAAGATGTCCATCGACAGATGAATGGATAAAGAAGATGTGGTATATATATACAATGGAATATTATGCAGCCATCAAAAGGAATGAGATCTTGCCATT